CCCCCGTAACAATACATGTATGAATAAGAACTGGGACATGGAAATAAACTTGTTCTATCAATTGATTGATTGCTATACCTGGGAGATTCTCATTTTGGAGATATCTTATGATGTACAGGCCAAAATGTTCCTTTAATGTATCAAGATTCTAACATTTGGTTATCTGAAAGTGGATCGTTACAAAAAAGCAGAGGTATGTAATTTGTAAAATTTGGAAAAGTTATTTTTGGACTATAAACTTCCAGAATACCACATTGGTTAGTGATTGTGGGAGTTGTAGTCCAGTGAAGCAGCTTCTCCAAAGTGTGATAAACTATGGTACCTCTTTAAGTTTGACATTCATTGGTCATACATGATCACACTCGATACTGCCTTATGCAAAAGTAGACTTTTGTAGCAAATAGAATGCTGGAACATTTAATAGGAGGCAGTCTTCTCTGTTGCTGATATATTATTTTGAGCAACCCAAACATTCAAGATGCAATCTTCAGTTCCTTTTTCACATGTATGGGGGGTCAGGACGAAAATTATCTGACTGAAAACCCCACACCGCCCCTTTTCGTTTTACCGCCCCCCTGAAAAATGAAATCGCCCCCTGGGGGGCATTATCGCCCACGTTAAGAACCACTGATTTTGAGCAACCCAAACATTCAAGATGCAATCTTCAGTTCCTTTTTCACATGTATGGGGGGTCAGGACGAAAATTATCTGACTGAAAAACAAATCTTTGGGCAGGCCATAGTTCAAGGTTACATCATACTGGACAGTCTCCTTATGGCAGAAATGGTACATAGATCTTCCTTTGACTGAAATCATGTTACTTAGTGAACTAAGTCATAACTGGAGTAGGCCCTCTGAATCAGTGGGAACTGGGTGAGTCGGCTCCTCCATATGCTCCATTGATTCAACGGGACTCTTCTAGTTGCAACTATAATGCTAGGCAACAGGATTTCAGCCTTTTTATATAGTAATTCTTTATTCAGGCACCTTCTATGTTGAATAAGAAATCAGGAATCATATTCCGTCTCATGATGACAGGCTGTTTAATGGGTGTGTTGGTGGGGTCTTGATGGGAAAGAGACTGATGATGGGCTCCTTGTCAGATAGGCTTTGCACAAAATAGTTAACAGCCTATGTGGACTGTTTTATCTTTCCTATCAATTTAACATCCATTAATGTGCAACAAATTGACCTTTTTTCAAAACCTCCTTTTAAGGAACTGGAAGAAAGTTGGCATCAAAAAATAGCAAGAGAAATGAACCTCTCAGAAACAGCATTTATCAGGAAACTGCACCCTACAGATGACTTTAGCAAAAGTAAGAGCTTCTCGCTGCATTTAAATAAGTGGTGGTTTGGTGTTGGTGTGAACAGAACGTAGGTCAAACCCTCTATCTCTTAATGTTGAAGAAGGATGATGTGTTAATGTACTGTGTAAGACAAGACAATGAATTCAGAATGTGCATAGCCACACTACAGACTTTAAACTAAGCTAGTTTAGCAGTTTAACTTTCTTCCCAAGGAAAATGTTGCAAACTGTAATTCTACAAGGGCATCAGGGAAAACTGTTCAGCAATCCTGAGAGCTGCAGTTTTCAGGGGGTTTTGGTGAAAGTATCATATGGCAGTTTTTGTAGCAGTTTGTTATCATTTTTTGTAGCAGTTTCCTTTGTTCAGTGCAAAATATGAGTCCAGTGATGTGAGTGTACATAACAGCAATTTCTATCATCAACAGAGCACTCTGCCCACCATGCCTAAGTCAATTCAAAACTGGAAGCACACATAGAAAAACCATTGTGTTTGAGCTGGGCCTTGGTGCTCCATGAGAAAACATACCAAATGTGCAACATAGAAATCTAAGGATGTTCCACAAATGATTTTTAAGTAGGATAGTGAGTTAGTAACTGAAAAAAAGACTATAATCCATAACACTTTCTTGTGTACCCTTATAGCATGCAACATATACATAGCAGAATCATACAAAAATCTTTCAAAATATTTCAGAAATAATTCCTTCATCATGTGTAGTACAGCTACATAATATAATTATATCCAATCATTCTAAAAACCTTCAACATCCACAATTTTAAAAAGCCAGAAAATGGCCTAACATTGTCCTGTAATATTGAACTTTTATTGTCAGCAATAAAAAAGATGCCATGTTTTACATAGCAAATACCAGCCTGAATTTAGATGACACTAATGTTAGCAATCAAGATGATCTACAGAGTCTATAGTGTTCCATCATCTGCTCACTACCATTCACAAAGATACACCATGCATGGGAATATCTCAGAACCTGTTTCTCATCAGTTAAGCAGTTCTCCTCAAACACAAAGCAATTGTCATGGCTGTTCCCACCTTGAAACTGAAGCCACCCTCGTAGTTAAGGATTCTACTACCCTATTTTGTTCCATGTGCAGACCAGGTCTTAATCCCACTTTATTTTGTTTACTGCCGGGCAGGAGAGAGGGAGAGAGAGAGAGAGAGATTCATTCATCTGTGAGAGTATATTTGTCACCGAACAAGGGGACGCATAAACTGATTTTCTCATAGCAGCAATATTCATCCATTCAATCAACTACCAACTGTGACTGACAGGCAATTGGAACAGTCTTCCCAAGTCTTCTTAACCAATTTAATCATGCAAAGCCATGACTGATCAGGTAAAAGAAGGCAACATAGAATGCAAGAATGGGCAATTTAACTGCCAGATAGGATTTAGACTGGTTGTTGGTTGGCAAAGCAATCAAATGGGGCTGAGTTAGGAAAGGAACCGGGTCAGTTCGATTAATGAAGAAGCCAGTTAGAACGATATGAGTAAAAACAGGTAGTGCATTGGTACAAAAGCAGCTGGATAGGTTTCAGCTTTAAGAGGTTTGCTCAGGCAGGGCTTGCTTTTGCATATTTCTCAGGCTGAGAAAGGGTCCCTGAAGAGGTGAAGATTACTCTTGATGGTTGTTATAAAAGTAGATAACCTCTTAAGGAGCAAGAGCTGACTTTCTAGAGAGCGTTGGTTAAAATCATATATGGAGTTTTTCTTGACATTTTGAATATATAACCTCTCATGAATTAAGCTGCTGAGACAATTCAGTTGTTTAGGCATCCGACTTCAGAGCTAGGGGTTGCGAGTTCAGTCCCCCACTATGCCTCCATGACAGGAGCTGGACTTGATGATCCATTGGGTCCCATCCAGCTCTGCAATTCGAAGATGATGATGATTAAGTACTGTGCCTTTAAATAGAGCAACCAAGCTTCATTTCTCATTCTCTGTTTTTGAAAATAAACTTTTGTTTTCTTTCTAGAATTTGCCTCAGTTTACATAATACCGAAATAAGAGGTTTAAAGGAATCCAGTGGCCGAGATCTTGTTCGTCTTTGTGTTACGCAAATGTACACCATCATAAATGTGACAGGCATTATGACCAGGCAATAAGGCTTGCACAGTTTGCACAATTGGTGGTTTGGTTCTAATTACAACCAATTGTACAATGCACCTGAGAAAGTGGCTTGTGCATAGCACTTCCACATTGGTGCAATTAGAGTTACTGCTTGTGCAACATCAAGCTATACAAACGTAGCTACTCAATAGGGTTTCATCCACGAAACACTAAATGTCATCAGCTCAGGTTCAAGTGTTGTACTTCCAAAATTACAAATTACTATTATTTACCACAGTAAAACCAAAGAGGATGTACAATTCTGACCACTTCAGGTGTCTGTCATGTTACCAACCTTTCATCTTTGCAAGGGAGTGTCATCCCAATAATCAATTAAAAAAACAAAGCTTGGGAGTGTTGCAGGGAATTAAATGTTTTCTGGCTGGCTTTGCAAGGAAAATCAACTCTGTTGTGGAAAAGAGTTGTAAGTGATACCATTATTTGAAGTCAAGTCAAGGAGTCAGCAGAGATGGAGACTTGAGTCACATGACATGTTGTCAAGTCCGACTTAAGTCCCACCACTGACTTCATATGGACTCTACTCAATTTGTTTTTCAGTGACTCAGATTTGACTCATGACTCGGAACACACCCTCTTCTCTGTTTTCTGGGGGAAAGTTTGGTTTTTATAGGGAATTGGATTTGGGGCTTAGGACTCCGGACTTGGTACCAAAGATTCAGACTAGCAGTTGGGACTTGGTAGCAAGGCTCAGATTTGGGACTCAGACCTGAAGACTTGCCAACATTCCGAGTTGGGACTTGGTAGCAAGGCTCAGACTTGGGACTCAGACCTGAAGTCTTGCCAACATTCCTGGAAATTATATATATAATATCAACTTTATATATATAATCTCCAGGAATGTTGGCAAGTCTTCAGGTACACGGTATATATAAATGACTGAAGCTTACACGATACAACAGCAAAGCAACAGAAATAACTTGTGTGCTACCTAGAAATCTGACTCTTATGTTTTTCTTTCTTTCTTAGGTTCCTGTTTCGGATTAAGGTGGTTTACACCAACTAGCGAAGTCCCACTCTGTGGTCATGCTACTCTTGCTTCAGCTGCTGTGTTATTCCAAATCAAAAGTAATAACATTTTGCTATCGGGTGTTTGACACGGAGGGTGTTTTGAAGCATATATTACAGTTATATGTTTCTGATTTTAAAAACAGGAAACGTGAATTCTACTCTAACCTTCGTAACTCTAAGTGGGCAATTAAAAGCCAGACAAGCAGGAGACCACATTACCTTGGACTTACCCCTTTACTTCAGCCATCCACAGGTAAAATGGAAGTGGTCTATTTGCCAACATTTATAGAAAAAAAGAGGGGAGAAAAGAGGGTACATCATTTCTTTCTTTTCTCTACCCAGGATTTTCAGGAAGTGAAAGAGTTAGTAAAGGTAACTTGTGCTACCTTTGTATTACATTGTACCAATTCACCTTATGGCCTTACTCTGCACAGAACTGCACAGTGTCAATAACTGTCTGTATCAATGCTACTGGTATGTACCACCTCTTTCTTTGTGCAATAATGGCTTATGTATAACTGGATTATATGCCCGCTTTACCTCAGATTACAAAACTGCAGCCTGAATATATTACGAAATAAAACATGAACAAATCATGGTTGGATTTTACTCAAAATAGTATCACTATATCAGATTAGCTACCCTGGCCAAAAGGCAAACTTGTTTATTTAGCACATTACAAAAAGTCTGGCATACATGCTAAAGGGCACAGAGTGGACCTGTCTTTCCCTAAATTTGCCACACGCTCCCCCTCAATTTAACATAATTGTTTTATTTTTCAAAATGCAAATATTTTTAAACATGCACCTGTTCTTATGTTTTTATTATTTTTAACCAAGACCAGGTAGAAAGATTGTCCATAGTGCTTCACTTGGGCCTTTGTAGGATCAACATAAGCAGTGTTTTAAAGAGGGAGCTGTCCACTGCATTGTTTTAATTGTTATTTTTTTTAAAAAATACAGTAAAATAAACCTATGGGACGGGACTTTGCTCATTTCCACCCTTTGTGATCCTGATCTGGATGAGGCCTAATCCCCAACACCTGCATTTTTTAATGCCAGAGATGACCAATTAAATAATTAGTTTAATTGATTTAGTTAATTAGTTGACTCCCCCAAACTAAGAAAAGGATGCTGACAAATTGGAACAAGTTCAGAGGAGGCCAACAAGGATGATCAGGGGACTGGAAACCAAGCCCCTGAGGAAAGACTGAAAGAACTGAGCATGATTAGCCATGAGAAAAGAAGACCGAGGGGATAGTTGAATGGTTGTCATACAAAGGAGGGGGCAGAATCTATTTTCAATTGTCCCAGGGAACAAACATATAATAATGGGCTTAAGTTATAGGAAACCAGAATTCAAATGAATATCAGGAAAACTTCCAAAATGTTAGACCAGTACAACAAGGAGATCAATTGCCTCTGGGATGTAGTGAGTGCTCCAACATTTGAGACATTCAAGAGAAAGTTAGGCAACCATTTGTCAAGTATGCTTTGGATTTCTGCATTGAGCAGGTGGTTGGACTTCATACCCTTCCAACTCCATTATTCTGTGATTCTATAATTTTTGGCCAACTGTTTTTGGCCAAAACAGTTGGCCAAAAAGAAAATGGCAAGTTGTTCTGTCAATCACCTCCAGAGGTCACAACTTGCCATTTAGGGGCATTTCCAGAGGGTCTGTGCCTTTTCTTTACACTTTGACGAGCACACTTTTCACAAAAGTTTGGACACAGCTGTCCAAGAATCTATGTGACAGGGGATAACCCGTAGATATGCAGAAGTTGCCTGTTTTTTTACCCTAACATAAGAACAATAATTTTAAAAGATATGGCTGCCAGCTAAGTGTTTAAAGCGTTGTCCAATTTGGCCCCTATAATCATATATTCTCCTCCTAAGGGCTTCTTTTAAAAGAAAGTGAATGTTAGCATGAATTAAGTTAGTCATGAAAACACTGCACTGGAAGTTAGTATGAAGATTCACATGAGTTCTTTTGGGCTTATTCTGTCCTATTTTATCACCAGATAGCTGCAAGTGAGATGACTGTTCAAGATGTTCGCTATTCTCCTGAAACAAAGAAGCTTCTTGTCCGTCTCAGTGATGTTTATGAAAGGTACATGTGTTTTTCTTATACATTTTAATGGGTTATATGTAGATTAATCTGTTTCTAATTTGGTGGCTTCTCCCGTCTGTTTGATGCTGAAGAAGCCATAAGAAGAAAGTCACACCTGTCTGGATATTATCCTGCTCTGATTTAGCTATTTCTTTATCATGGCCATAGTTTGTAGGGGCTAATTCAACACCCTTTAAGGAACCAGACTTGGGTTACTTAAACCATGTGAACAGAATAGTAGAATCTGACTGAAAGAGCAATAAAGAAAAAGAGAAGAAGTGGGGAAAACAAGCTGCTTATTATACTACAGATTCAAAAATCTGTTTAGGGAAACACATTTTTAAAATCTGCACAAAGTTTCTCAAGTCGTTTCCAAAAATGTATCCCAGAACACCTAATGCCTCAAAGTTGGTAAATTGAGTGCACAGCTGTGACATATGAAGAAATGTAATAAATCAAAGGTATGCATTTCTGTATGCAAATAGGCTTCTTATGTACTGCCCCATAGTGCTTAAAGCAGTCTCAGGGTGGTATGCAATTTAATTCTCCAGGCTACACATTGTTGCTCCCACCAAGCAAGCTGTGCACTCAATTTATCAACCTTGGAAGAACGGAAAGTTGAGTCAACCTCAAGGTGGCTACTTAAACCCATCAAGACTGAACTCAGATTATGAGCAGGGCCTTTACTGCAGTTTAACCACTGTGCCACAAGTTTTCAATAAGATTTTGTAGAATTTGTGGAAACAGAAAATATAAAATGAAAGACTAACTTTAAAAAGGGAACAAAACAAAAAAGGAGATTTTCTCTTCTTAGCAAAGTTATAGCTTAATATGAAAATCATGATTTTCAGTGACACAAACAGTTTCAGCAGCGGCACCCAGCCTGTGAAAATTCCTTATATGGCTCCCTCATGATAGGCTTTCCTACTGTCTGTAAAGCCCATGGCTTTACAGACGTTAGGAGACTGTCCTACTGAAACAGTCTCCTACTGTTCCAGGGAGAAGACTCCCCAGAAAAGACCCTAATGTTGGGAAAGTGTGAGGGTAAGAGGAGAAGGGGATGACAGAGGATGAGATGGTTGGACAGTGTCATCAAAGCTACCAACATGAATTCAACCCAACTCTGGGAGGCAGTGAAAGACTGGAGGGCTTAGCATGCTCTGGTCCATGGGGTCACAAAGAGTCGGACACGACTTAACAACTAAACAACAACAAAATAAAGCCCATTTCATTTTACCAGGCTTTTACTCTGGTGTGAATGTTGTTCCCTTGGGATTTTGTTGCTTTTAATTTGCTGTGTTCTTTACCATGTGCTTGTCAATGTTTGATAAATATTAACTGTTTTTGAAAAGTGCTTTCATTCTGTAAACCACACTGAGAGACTACAGAAAAATCTGACTTAATGCCGCTCAGGGGAAAAAAGTGTTAGATCATCCTCTTCTGTGTGTCCTTCTTTCTTAACCCATTATTGATTTTTTTAAATATTATGAATAACCTCCATAGAGAACATGAAGTTTACCAGGTGTTCTTGAGTACACTCCAGTCAGACTTCGCAACTGACAATATGCTGACTGGAGATGATGAGAATTCCAATCTGACAATACTGTACCTTGGAGGGCCAATCCATTCCTCAGCCATGCCATAGAGAATAGGGTCTGGTCTCCTGTCATCCTTGTTGCATTTCAGTTTGCCACCATTCACACTGACACATTCCAGACATCAATTTACATTTGTGTGGAACGCTTCCCCCCTTCCCAATATTTTAACATTTAACATATAATGATTATACTTCAAGGTCTGATTTGGAGAAACTGAAAGTGAATACTCAAGAACTTCTACTGGCTGAGAAGACTGGGAAAATAAAAGGTTTAATAGTCACACTTAAGGGAGACTGCCACGAGAAACAAGGAAGCTATGATTTTTTCTCCCGTTATTTTGCACCATGGTATGGCGTTTCAGAAGATCCTGTCACAGGTGTGTTTCTGTATGAGCATCATGGTTTGGCCCCTATTTTTATTCAAAATTGTGATTCAAAAATATTCAGCGGAGTGTTCGTGTTTGATGCTTTATTGCATAAAAAATCCAGAAGAATAGACATATTGATTTGTTTCCACAAAACCCACAGAGTCTGGTGCCACTTTAAAAAGCCATGTGTCCAAGAGAGTATTCAGGGCATCTGTTGAAGCAGGCTTTTTTTGCTTATGAAAGCTCATGCTGTAAACCAGGGCATGGGTGTGTGTCCTTGCATGCCTGCAACTCTTAGCAGTCTGGCTAGGCTGCCAATAGCAGGTAGAAACTATGGTTCAACAACTGGAGCAGTAGTTGGGACCTGAGATGTTCTTGGACTAAAACTCCTAGGCATCTTCACCACTAGCTATGCTGACCAGGATGCATCTTCACCACTAGCTATGCTGGTCCGGATTTCTGGGGGCTGCAGTCCAAGGATATTTGGGGATCGAAAGTTGAACTCACTTTGGAGACCCATGCTGTAATTGATCTGTTAGTCCTCAGATGTCACAGAACTATTTGTTCTTTTATATGATAGCCATGCTTTTCTCCCACGTAAGGAGTGACTGTAATTCAGTCTATGGGGGCAAATTGCTGCACTGAGGGATGACACTGCAGGGTAGGTTTCACAAAACCTGTTCTGCATTTGTGTAGTTCAGTCTTCACTAATAGGATTTTTTTTTGAGTGCAGTAGCAAATGTAAAACGTTGTGGATAAAGAAGATGTGGAGATTCATTGAACCTCCTAGACATGTTTGCAGTATTCCTAGTCTTTATTCACTTGGTACTTTGCAGCTTCCATTAAAGTGGTACTACTGTATATTACTTTGCAGCTAGTTTGCTGATGGGGATAATAATGCCAGCTTCCATTAAAGTGGTACTACTGTATAATGATTAGTGAAATAATGCTTGTGATGTGCTTTGAACATGCTGTGTACATGTTTATTACCACTACATCTTCTTCATCTTTCCCTTTTCTTCAAAGGAGCTGCACACACAGTTTTGAGCAGCTACTGGTCACAACAACTGGGGAAAAAGGAAATGTGTGGTATGAATTCTTATATATGTATTTTTTTCATTGCATTTTTAATCTGGTGGTTTGCCTCTGCTAGAAAGGCTCCCATAATAGCTTACATACAATCTGTTTCCCGTCTCTTCTCCCTCTGGTGATAGCTTCTCACATTAAGTGTACTCACAGGGAGATCTATACAGTTCGAAAGACTTAATGAATGTCATTTGCAAGAATTAATCAACTAGATTCTTAATTACAGATCATATATGGATTGGGTTCAGTGATGCCGCAGATCTATGGTAGCTTTCTTCATCTGCTTCTCAGTGGTGTTGATAAAATTCAGTGGTGTACAAGGCTGATTTTAAAACATGAACGAGAAAGATAACTATCCTGCTCATCTCTTTCTTTAGCATTTCAGTGTTCTGCTCGGGGCGGAAGACTGAAGATTTTGCTCCGGGATGATGGAAGATTAGACCTGAGTGGCCAAACAGCCATTGTGTTAAAGGGCTTTCTGACTATCTAAAGAAAATTAGGACAAGCTTTTTTTAATGATTCTTACTGATGTGAATGTTTCTTTTATTTAGAAGAACATTGCTACTTAATTAGGAAGTCAAGATATGCATAATTTGGTAACTTAAGGTGTGTTCCATGGGGACACATGGATTGCAACTTGGGCACCTTGTGGTCAGTACCATCTGTTTCTGGGCATAAAGCATCAGGAAATGCTCTCCAGCCCAACCCTGATTTATGCCCCAGACAGACCTATTTGGTCTAAGTGTAGGGCTACTACTTTGGGGGGGGTGGGTTATTTGGTGTGATTTCTCAGCAAATAGAGGGGTCATTTAAGCAACGCTTTCTGATGTGATCAAATGCTTGCCTTTGCAGCCATCTAATTGCACCCTTAATTATGTAAATGGATTTATATATTCATAATACTTGCCTTACTGTCCTATCCCACCCTGACAGCTTCGGGCGGGTAAGAACAGCTTCTGTCCTTTTGCAAGTACAGTACATTGGACAGCTGGCTAAACTTCAATCAGAAACAAAACTCACACAGTAAAAGCAAACACTACTAAGATATTAATCAGTGAGGTGCTAAAGTGCCCTGTTCTTCCTCCAGTGCTGTTTAACGGAGGTCATCATTAGGAGCTACAGCTCTGTCCCTCGGCATCATATTTGGTTGAGGTTGCCCAGGCACTAGACCAGTATGTCTGTCCTCTAACGGCTGAATGAGGACCAATGAACTGTAGCAAAATCCTGATAAAATCAATATATATGGAGATCCTGAGAATCTCACGTCCCAGAATTGGTTGAGCCACCAGTTCTGAATGGGGTTGAATTCCTCCCCCTCCACCCAGGATACAGGTGTGCACTAAGGAATAGTTCTTGATTCACCTTTGTCACCAGAAAGGACATATTAGTGTGCTTTGGACAACTTTGACCTGCTAGCTATGGCAAATTCTGGACAGGGATAATCTGGCCATAGTAGTTCATGTCCTCGTAACTTTGTTTTATTGTGGTGTGCTCTACATGGGCCTCCCATTGGAAACACCTCCTAATGTGGCAGTTAGACTGCTGGCAGGAATACTGTATGGAAATCATATGACAATATTTTAGAGAAATTGTGCTGGATGTTAATATGTTGTTCACAGTGGTAGTTTTGATCTGTAGCAGGTTTTATTTTGCTTAAAGTAAATTATTAAATTGTTTGCATTATTTTAGTTTGTTTTAAAATTAACCTCACTGATTATATTGCACCCCGAGATCTGTTGCAGAGGATGGGTTAGAAGTATTTTAATAAAATAGTAAAAAAAATCTAAAGTTGTGTTATATTTGCTTAATCCTAGCCTAAGTCTGAAGGCTTCATAGCCTTTCCAGTAAATATCCAGTTTTGAATTCTGATGGCCTTGTACAAGGAGGGAGAGTTGCAGAATCCTCTGAAAATTCAAGTCAAGAACCAGGACCCATATTCTTGAGCAGAGTTTGGAAAAATTACTTTTCTGGACTTTACCCCCTGGCTGAGATCCTGTTGCTTAGTGTAGTAAGTTGCATTAAAATAGACCCATCGAACCCATTGACTGGTGAGTCAACTTCTCCATTTTACATGCTTTCGCATTGCCTCTGACCTACGGCAATCCTATGAATGAGCCATCTCCAAAAATGTCCTGTCTTCAACAGCCCTGCTCAGCATTTGTAAACTCAAGTGGTTCCTTTAGGGAGTCAATCTATCATGTATCTGGTCCTTGTCTCATTAAAATAGACCCATCAAACCCATTGACTGGTGAGTCAACTTCTCCATTTTGCATGCTATCGCATTGCCTCTGACCCACGGCAATCCTATGAATGAGCCATCTCCAAAAATGTCCTGTCTTCAACAGCCCTGCTCAGCATTTGTAAACTCAAGTGGTTCCTTTAGGGAGTCAATCTATCATGTATCTGGTCCTTGTCTTTTCCTGCTTCCTTCAACTTTTCCCACTATTATTTTCTTTTCCAAAGTACCTTACCTTCTCATGATCTGACCATAAGATGACAGCTTCAGTTTCATCATTTTTGCCTCCAGAGATAGCTCAGGGTTTGTTTGCTCTTGGACCCACTTTTTCACCTTTCAGGGAGTACAGGTACTCCTCCCACAGCATATTTCAGATGAATCAATCTTCTTCTCTATAAATTCCATCAATTTAAATGGACTTATTCTAGTGTGACTTACTACACTACGGAACAGAATTTCAGTCCCTGAATTCCTAGCAAGCGCAATTAGTTGTAACTCAAAAAAGTAAATTTTTTTCTGGTAGGTAATTGTTCTTCAACAAATGTTTTGGCCTAGGAAAGGCTCATTTCCATCAGGCCTGGTCTGGATCCATTTCTAATATTCTTTTGTTGCTTGTACGGTAAGACTATCAAATGGCTGCATATTTCAGTGCCACACTAACTCTCTTCCAATATAATTATGGCTCTTTAAATCCCAGCTTCCATAGATAGAGGGTTTCAAATAGACAAATTAATATGAAAGGGGGGCAAGACCATTCCTTAAAAATGGGAAAGAATTATTCCACTGAGGCTGCCATTAGAAGTAGTAACGAAATGAAGATATATCACCTATAGTTTTGGAGCGTTCAACCACATGGTCTACAGCTTTCAAGAAGCTTCTCTGAGTTAGTGGTCAGACAAGGCCAGGGAGGAGTTTGCTGTGGTACCTACATTCTTTGGACATGATTCTAAAAAAATTTCTGAAAGAGCCAGCAGCAGATTTTATATAATACTACAAATAAAAATCCCAATTGCTGGGTGAGGTGGATAAGATTTGTGGAACAACATTTCTGGAAGATGCTAGGTTATGGTGGGACAACCTTAAAGCATGATAGCTAGCAATTGTGCTATTTGTGTTATTTTAATTGGTCACTTTTCATTTCTAGTAGTATTAGCCCTGTTTGGTCTAATCAGACCACCAGACTTTTGTTTTTAATCTTTGAGTTTGGCTGGGGTTGGGTGTGTTCATAAGAAGGCAGCCTTCTGTGCAATACTCAAATGGCATCTTATAGACATCTTGGCTGATGCTTGTTTTGGTCTGATGAACACACATGGGAAGCAAAAACTCTTGGTTCACTTTCAGAAGAACATGGGTTACACACCAGGTTTCTAAATAGGCACATTTAGAGATATAGGACTCAAACTTAACAAGTCTGTCCACAGGCACACAAATCACAATTTACGTATGTGAAAGGCTTGTAAGTCTCCTGTAATGGCATTAAGAAGGCAATTAATCTTCACCCATCCAGATTTTACAAAGAGACAATGCAGTTTTCTTTCCTAGGTAAAGGTAAAAGTAAAGGTTCCCCTTGACAATTTTTGTCCAGTCGTGTCCGACTCTAGGGGGCGGCGCTCCTCCCGCTCTTCAAGCCATAGAGCCAACGTTTGTCCGAAGACAATCTTTCCGTGGTCACATGGCCAGTGTGATTTAGACACGGAACGCTGTTTACCTTCCCACCGAGGTGGTACCTATTTATCTACTCGTATTTGCATGCTTTCGAACCGCTAGGTTGGCGGGAGCTGGGACAGGCGACGGGCGCTCATTCCGTCGCGTGGATTCGAACTTACGACTGCTGGTCTTCTGACCCTGCAGCACAGGCTTCTGCGGTTTAGCCCACAGCGCCACCACGTCCCACTTCTTTCTTTCCTAGGGGAATAAAATAATCAGACACATCAAATAATGTTTTTAATGCAATGTCATCCCGAGTCTTCCTGACTACTGCAGGAACTATGTGTTTGCTCAATGCAGATTTCATTCTTCCATGTGTGTGTTTGCCTGCTTGTGTATTATGGTATAATGCCTTTCCCCCCTTGTGTCAATTTGTGTTTCGTTGGGGTGGGATGTGGGGGGGGACAAAAGAAGCATGAGTGGCAGAGCTCAGGTGGAAGTCTGAGGTCTAAATGTGTTTGTAATCAACAGATTAGTTAATCGGCCATGATTTATTGATGATGAATTAATTATCCCTGATTTTGCATTTCTGCTGGCTAAATGGAGCCTTAAAGAGGTTATTTTATTAATCATCACAGTGCTAATTGCAGACACTTACAGAAAGACTGCTAATTAAACATGCAACCGTGGGCAAAATGAGGTCCGGGTTGCTGAGAGCGGCAAGAATCTAAGCACTCATTTTCTGAGTAGTGAAACTTTATTCCCCATGAAATATTACAGTGTTGGCCTAACCATCCTAATTAGTTGCCATGAGCTGTTTGAATGCATTACCATTTTTAAATATCAGCATATATTTTTTTAAATAAAATGTTAAACAGGTCCAAATGGAATGCACGATTTATCTGGCTTTGGTGAGGAGAAGGTCAAGGGGCATTGGCTACAACTCCCAGATCCAAAGTGAACAGCTTTGAGACTTGCCTCGTACATGAGCAGTGTCACCATAGTACTGAGGGGTTGCAGGCCACTATGTCACATACCACAGAAGCAGCAATAAAATTATGCTAAATCAGTGATGAAAGCAAATGGAGTTTTCTTCCAAAGTGACTGATAATTGTCTTGCAGTATTAGAGGGGTTAAGCCTCTTAGGGAGAGGAGGAAGCTTCAGACAAAAATTAAAGATAACTAGGCAAACCTTGTTTTAGCCTTCAGGTATCCCACTTCCAGCTGCATAGCTGCATTTGGGACTCAGGAGTAACTGAAGAATAGCTCTCAAAAATCCAAGGGAGTAAAACAAGGGCCCAGTTGTGCACCATAAAGAAGCTGCTGGAGATATTTGGCCTGGGACAATTTTAAAGCAGCTGGAAAATAATACACTCCGATGCAATTTTGTTTTGTTTCATTTCATTTTGTAAAAGCAGGTCTGTGCTGCTCAGGTAGCATATTCTGCATGCGCCTTACGAGTGGCATTCACTAGAAAGACAGCATCAAGATTCCACTGCCTAGGGTTGTCATCTGACAGCAGGACCAGTTCAAAGCTAAAAAGATGTAGGCAATGGGAGATTGCTTGGGAAAGCCAGAACATTGGCATAAGTTCCATATGGGGAAAAGGTGGAACATGATAAATGTATTGAATAAATAATAGCAAATGTGGAAGAAAATAGAGTACATCAAGCAAATACAACCTAGAATTTAAATAGTGTAATACTAAACTTCTAATATTAACAGATATGTACTTCACTATCTATACTAGTATGGGAGGTACTTGTACTCCTTCAGTTGAGTTCCTTCTGTCTCTCCTTCAATTTTTCTTATTATGGTTTTCCAGTACAGTGATATGTCAAATGAGAACTGCAATTTCACATATTATTACAGTGGTGCCTCGCTTGACGATGTTAATTCGTTCCAGTGAAATTGCTGTAGAGCGAAAACATCGTCAAGTGAAATAAAAAACCCATTGAAACACATTGAAGAACTTTCAATGCATTCCAATGGGCTGAATACCTGCTCGTCCAGCGAAGATCCTCCATATGGTGGCCATTTTCGGTGCCTGTAAAGCGAGGAATCTGTCCTAGAAAACAGCGGGCGGCCATTTTCTTCATCCGGTGGCCA